CTTAGAGGCTCATGGGACTTAGTAAGATTAGAGGCTAGGCTATAAGTAAGTACGTCTTCGGAGAAACCTACCCAAAACACTTTCAACTTATATCCACACGTTATGATTTAGTAAGGCTATACTTGGAATAATCTTACTTAGGGCACCTCTGACCCCTAAACCCTGAACCCTAAACCCCAATTAAAGAATTAAAGCCGGACTTGCCCCCTAAACCCTAAAGCCCTTTTAGCCTACGTATTATAGTTCAGATACAATCCCAAAAAGTTAAAGTCCTAAGAGCCAACCAGAAGAACGCCAAGTGCTAAGTTCCTGGAGCCCTTAAGTAGGAGCTGTGTCGGAGGCCAGGGGGTGTTTCTCCAGATGGGCACTTTACGTTTTTTTTGTCGGTTTTCTTTGAGGGTTCTATGGTATGGGGTTTTAGGATTTAGGGACCTAGTAAGTAAGGCTATAAACAACGTAACTACTGTTACATCTACTTCAGACCCTAATTGGTTTGGGGTTTAGGGCTTCAGGTACTTATACAGAGCCCCCGCAGGAACCCCACTTACCAAGTCCCGTCACAGCAACCTCTCGGCCTTTGCCGACTTGTGTGCCAGCTCTGTTGCATGCTCTGCTTCTTCAGTAAACCCGCACGTTTCGGGCGTAGGCCCCGTTGAAGTCGTCGACGAAGTGGCCCGATATGGCCCGTTTGAGGGCCTACAGGGCGACGACGTGCGGTTGAAGTTCCAAACCGACGCCGCAGCTCTGAAGCACATGGTCATGTGGAACCACAAGGTCACCGCCTCCAGTGCCGTCAGGATTGTGCCCCGAGTGCGACGGGTGTTTCACCGGCCATTGCCGGTACGCGTTGCGGAGGTCGTGGCCGATCAGAGGTATATTCTACTATGATTATAAAAAGGAACACACAGAAATAGTATTGAATTAGTAGTTATATTTAGGCCCCTATAGTGCATTCATGCGCAAATCTTATGCCACTGACCTTTGGGGATGGCACAAGAACAACATGTCGCCGCCAGAGGGCGGCTCGGCAAAGGTTTAGGGTTTAAGGGTTTAAGGGTTTAGGGTTTGGGGTTTAGGGTTTAGGGTTTAGGGTTTAGGGTTTAGGGTTTAGGGTTTAAGGGTTTAGGGTGAGCTCAGGTGGTTCAAGTCCAAAACAAAGTACCGTAGGCGATGTGTCCTACCGGTCACTAAGCCGTACACCCCAAACAGAGCCCGAGACACCGAACAAAAACTTGAACCCTAAGCCACAAACCCTAAACCCCCAACCCCCAAACCCTTTACCACAAAACCCTACACCCCAAAACCCCAAGCCCTTAACCCTAAACCCTAAACCCCAAACACCAAGCCCTAAACCCCAAACCCCAAGCCCTAAACCCCAAACCCCAAGCCCTAAACCCCAAACCCCAAATCCCAAGCCCTAAACCCTAAATCCTAAACTACGCAACCCTCAAAACCACACATCCTAGGCCCCAAGCCATAAACTCCCTAGACTACGCAACCCTCAAAACCACACATCCTAACTGCGGCATCGGCCTTTGCCCAGCAGCGGTGGAGCCGGTTCCTCAGCTGCTTCAGGGTTTAGGGGTTTTGAGGGGTTTT